CAATACCCCTTTTGGTTCTGAGCATACAAAAAAAAAAAACACATTTCTTGGCCTTAGGATCCAATTTCTTGCGATGAGGGCCAAGAATGTGAACAAAGGAATCACATCCAAAAACCCTTAGAGATATATGAAATATCTCCCAATCTGGAAAAAACAGACTAAATGGCACCTTAAACTCCAAAGTTCGTGAAGGAACACGGTTAATCAAATGCACGGTAGTAAGAACTGCTTTTCCCCAGAACTGCACAGGAACTGAAGCACACACCATAAGACTCCTTGCTACCTCCACAATGTGTCTGTTTTTTCTCTCAGCAACTCTATTTTGTTGTGGTGTATATGCACAACTATTCTGATGAATTACCCCATGTTCTAGGAGATACGTGGTCAGGTCCTTCTCAAAGTACTCTCTGGCATTATCTGATCTAAAAACCTTAGTTCTCACTCCAAATTGTGTGAGAACCATCTGGTGGAACTATCGTATCAAGTTAGGAACTTCATCACATGATCTCATCAAATATATCCAAGAATGTCGTGTATAATCATTTACAAACAAAAGAAAGTAAAGGAATCTACCCATGGAAGGGATATGATATGGTCCCCATACATCAGTGTGAACATTATTAAAAGCAAAAGTACTTCTTTTATTACTTGGTTTAAAAGACTGTCTACAATGCTTTCCTAACTAACAACTCTCACACTTCAAAGTAGATAATTGAACAGACTCAAAACAACTTTGGGAAAAGACATTTCAAAGAACTAAAAGAAAGGTGTCCCAAGCGATCGTGCCAGAGCATAATCTGGTTCACTGACTTTGGCCCACTACTACTACTGCTGCTAACATGATGGCCCTGATGTCTCGGAATCTCATCCAAAAAGTAGACTCCATTCACCTCACGACCACTCCCAATCATCTTCTTTGACTCTAGATCCTGTAAAACACAATTATCAAGAAGAAATGTCACAAAACAATTCAAATTCTTTGTCAAAGAGCTAACAGATAGTAGGTTGGCATGAAGTCTAGGGACATGTAAAACAGAAGGCAGAGTTATATCATTGGTCACTCTAACTGTCCCTTTCCCAGCAATGGGAATATGCGAACCATCTGCTATAGAGACTCTGTCTCTACCAGAACACAACTAATAGGAACTGAAAAGGGTATGGGCAATTAGTCATGTGCTCAGATGCTTCTGAGTCTATAATCTAGGGAGGTCCCTCCTTACCTGAAGTGGATGCAAGATTTGCAGTTGCATATGAACTACCTGTATGTGCAAAGGAAGAGGTGTAGCTGGCTCCTGCATTCTGTTGTCCATYTGGAAGGCTAGDGCTAGGTGAATCTTTCTTACTCATAAGCTGTCCAAACCTCTCCAATTCTGTCCTCACTGCTGCTACTGCAATGGATTCCCAATCAGTTTGGGAAAGAGGGACCGAAGAGTCTCCTGTAGTGGCTACATTTGCATTTTCCTTCTTGTTCCTTATCCTGCCAGGCATAAGATTTGGATGAAGCTTCCAGCAAGTGTCCCTAGTATGCTTAGGCTCTTGCAATAATCACACACCAAGTCCTTCTTATCTTCCCTTCTAGTCTCACTACTCCCCCCGTCTCCATTCGGCTTAGGTTTTGTTGTACCAACCATAGCCGACTAGTTAATCCCAGGCTGTTTCAGCATTACATTCCTCCTACTCTCCTCTCCAGAGACAAAGGCATAGGCTTGAGAGAGTGTCACACCCTCCCTAAAAAGAATATGCTGCGTAGCAATGTCGAATTCAGGGTTCAGCCCTGCCAAGAACTCAAAAACCCTATTCCTCTCTACCAGTCTATGATAGGTTGTTGCATCATTTACACTTTCCCATACCACAGTTTCTAAGTGATCTATTTCCTGCCACAGGGTTTTCAGCATGGGGAAATACACAGCAAGAGGTTTTTCTTCCTGTTTCATACTTATCACCCGATTCCTTAACTGATAGGCTCTGGCTTCATTTTGTTTCTGAGAGTAGGTTTCAGTCACTCCATCCCAAATCTCCTTAGCAATATTAGCCCATAGGAATTTTTTTGCAATATAAGATTACATAGAACTATATAGCCAGGACATTACCATGTAATTCTCTTGCACCCATCGGGAAGAGTCTGTATCCGGTTTCTTCTCCTCCCCAATGAGATACCCTAATTTTCCACGGGCACTAATAGCCACCTTAGCTGATTGTGCCCACTCCAAATAATTTGTACCATCAAGTTTTATTGTAGTAATGATCCCAGACCYAAAAATATCACTACTACCTCCAACACCCAGTCCCACAGTACCGATAGATTTCATCTTGGTATTCCAACTCTCCATCTTACTTCAAACAGTTCAACAGTAAGAAAAAATAGATTGGAAACCTTCCAAAAGCAATTTAATATCACACAAACAGAAACAAACCTTTCTGGAAGAAGAAAACCCTAGTTGGAGAGAACTCTCTCTCCTCCCCATGCCTCCCAACAGAGAGAAGAGTGAATCGATCACTCCAGGAGGCTCAGAAAAATCCAGAAACCAAACCGCACTCTTCAGGAAATCAAAAGAAAGCTAACAATACCTAGCCGCCCAAGATCAGATAAAAAACAAAGAGTCCAACTTTTCTGGGACTCTTCCCCGTACTCCAATTCTTCTTGATTTTGATGCTGAACAGTAGATCACCTTCCTGACGACTAGATCCCACAAAAAAATCCAAGAACTGGGCAATCTACAGTAGATCGATCAGCCCTTTATTACTTCATGCAGTTGGTTGATCTAGGGCTGCATGAGAATGCTTCTAGAAACCCTAGCCACCGCTCTGATACCAAGTAGAAAGCTTGCTGAATTAAAAATATGAAATAAAAGGAGTTTCTTGAAGAAAAAAGGAAGAGAGAAGGAGAAGAAGAGAAGTTGAAAAGAAAGGAGAGCAATAATCTGGCCGCTCCCTTCACTTATTATTTATACTAAATATAATAGAGCAGTGCAAAGACAACTATGCCCTTATAGGGCGGCAAGACATAAAACAGCATATATAAGACACAAAAACATAATAAAATTTGGACTCACATAACTACTGTGGTCCCCACCTCCTATCTAACAACTAACATAAAACATCTAATCATAAAAAACATCATAAAACTGATTAATCTTCAACATTTTCAATGTAATAATTGATGTTGAAACTCAGAAATGCTCAATCAATGGTGTTGGAGTCGTGGAGGGAAGGGATCATACAGGCCTGACCTGAACATGACAAGAACTGCATTTTCCTGAACCAAATCCATCCTACCTATTGTGGCATCTGTCAGACCAATTGAATTTGTGTGGATTGCCCATTTAACCTGTTCAGTTGCCATCTCTAATTTTGCCTCATAGGCATGGCAGGATGAATGAAGAGGAGATTTCGGATTAGCTGAATTTGATAGCTGTTTTATGGCTGTTGAACCAATCATTTTGTTCCACACCAGCCAGTAAATGCAAGTGAGAGATTGAATGGTTATGGGCCACATGCAATTTATGGCTTCAGTGGAACAAAATGATTGGTTCCACAGCCAGTAAAACAGATATGAAATTCAGCTACTCCATTCTCTGAAGAGGATTCTCTTTTGGGAAAATTACCAGTTTCAGTCTCCAGAAGGAGCTAATAGTAGTAAAGGGTTTTGGGGTTCAGATCTATGGGTTGGATTGTTAAAAAGTGATGTTTTGGTAGGAATCCATATTTAAATCAAGGAATGAGGATGTGAGACTTTTCTGTCTATACACCTGCTTTGGTCTACTCATCCTGAGAAAATTTGTGTGATTTTCTTTACTTGTTTATGCTAATTCATATGCATATCATCTCTTCCTAAAATTAGCAATCTGGTAGGTGCAAGGTCAGGAAGCTATTGTATCTTACCTCTTCTGTTCTATTGTTTAACTGCGCTTTTCAGGGGTAAATGGCATATAGGCTCTGTAAAAGATACGGGAAGCTCCAGCTCCAAGGAGTTTGGGACTTTATAAGGCAGATAATTAATAGGACATCTTTCAAATATGGTTTATTCTGTATTATGCAGTGAAATGCCCAGTAACTCAGTTTTCTTATGGTTTCTTATTGGGATATACGAGAGAGTACACAAAATTGTCTTCATTGGCTTACAGGATTTGGTTGGTTTTTATTGAAATGCCCAGTAACTCAGTTGTCTCTAAGTAGTCCAATTCCTTTTCTTTGTTCCCTTTGATTGATAAATACACTATTTTTTTTTTTTTTTTTTGATAACTTGGGAGAAAAACACATGTTCCTATTGATTGATAGAGGAACTTCCATTGGAATTGTGCACTTGTTCGTTTTTGGTTTAGACCTTTTTAGCAATCTGAGTCATCTGAGGATTGGTGGATCAGTCAAGCACTCTGAGTTGGTAACTAAGTTTTGTTGGAGTAACAGACTACTTCCTGACTTCGTTCTCATGGTTCAGTGGTTCTTTTCTAGTTGAAGAGAGGATTTGGTAATTTGGCTAAAGTTAATACATAAAAGAAAGTATAGTACTTATTTTTTGTCAGATAAAGAATGAGTCCTATCATTTTCTTGAGGCAAAGTTGAGGCACAAAAACTTCCAGCGAGTGTTCTAAGTTCTATCCAGTAATTATAGCTTTCTATCTGTTCTTATGTGCCTTTGTGGTGCTTGCTTCTATAATCACCAAGCTGTTTGTTGTGCTTGAACAATAAAGTGTCATTTGAAATAGTGGTTGTGGTTAAATTCTAAAAGCCACCTAAGTATCTGAAATTATGTTCCTCTAAGACAAAGTCAATTGAAATTAAAATCTATTTACATCATCACTCAATGTATCAAGTTCCTTGTCACTGTACTCTCTTTCTTGCTATATCTTCTTGTCACCTTTAAGCAACATTAGTTCAGCACAGCTTTTCAGTACCTTATATATTCTAACCTTGGTGGTTGTTTATGTATATCTTTTCAGTTCAAGAAGTGCTTTTAATCGTTGTTCATTGGTGTGAGAATTTGTGTTGTTTTCATGCAGGGCTGATGAAATTGTGGCTGCCTTCTTTGCCATGCTGTTTTTTGTGCTTCTAATATCATCCTATTTGACACTTTACTTCAGACACTTCAATCTTGGGGTTTTTATTATATTTCTTTGTATTCTTCTTCCCTTATCTCTGAAGGTTTCTAGACATAGAAGTTCACTTAGAACGAAAAAGGAGAGAAGGATGTTATTACCACTTTCTATGTGACAATTCCTACAAGTTCATGTTTTGCTGCTTCCTTCTATTCTTGTTGATTGTATCAGAGCACCTAGAAGGTTGGAAACTAGTATTAGCCTATTAGGGGCTGGCTCTTTGCTAACAGCTAAAGTAGCTGAACCAAATGACTTGTTGTTTTGTCCTTAATTGATAAAATAGTTAAATAGTAAAATGTTAACCCAACTTCAGCTTCATCCATTAATGAGCTCATGACCCTCTTAATAACTTATTCTCCAATAGACAAAGCAACAAGTCATTCAGTTCAGGCACTTTAGATTAGTCAGCCATTAGAATCACAGCCTTCCTCTGGGAGTAGTGGTATGATTTCTTTCTCTCTTATCAATCTGTTTTCATGGTGGAGATTTGAAAGCTGCATGAATCTGCCAGAAGGCCGCTTCTCATATTACGCCATACTAATGGGTTGAGAACAGCACACTGAAATGTGCCCCCTTAAGTTTACCACATGCATTTTCCTCCAAACTGGACCAAATCAATGCCATGGTCTAAACATATAATGGATCAAAGAGGATGAGTTCCTCTGTGATTACATGACTACATGAAATCGGCCCAAAATGGAATCATCCTTTAAAATCAGGGAAATTCATAGTCTAACAAAAAAATACATGGTTTTGAATCTTGATGGTCTCAATATTTCACATACAATGGCTTTCTAAGATGTAGAGTACTGAAATGGTATTGTTGTAGACCCAGAATATCCATCTGACAGTCTTTTTTCATAGTTTACTTGTCCACTGCAGCCTCATGCCAACATACATCTTCCCCCATGAATGATAGGCCTTGAGTTTCCTTTGTGTTTAATTTCAAATAAAAAAAGAACCAAGTCTGTTCCTTATTTGTTCACGAGGGATTGGACGGAAACTTGCCACATAGAAAGAGGGTTGATGTGAAATGTCAGAGATCCATTTTGGCTGCTTCTAAGCTGCCATGTGCAGATATTCCACAAATGCTCTGTAGATGACAAATCTAACAAACAGAGACCCAGTCCTATAAGCTTGTCAAAGGGACAGAATTTGACATGATTGGCTACTAAGATATGGGTAATCGGAAACACTGCTTTCAAGCATGCGTTCGCATGTGCAAACCTGGACTCCTTGTGTTGAACGTCCCAATTTGAACAGGTGGATATTATTAAGGGAATCTAAAAGCCAAGCCACTTTCTTGACTTCAAACTGGAAACAGAAAATCGCAAATCCATTTGTGTTGTCACTTGTTCGGAAGAGCGGGATTGCAAAATTTTCCAACCACACTGAAGGATACTTACTACTGGGCCTATGAACCTAATATATGGGCCCCATCACCCATGTATATAGAGCTGACGTGGTGTCTCGTGATTGGCCATAAGGGGCGTAAGTTGGGTAATGGCCTAATAGGTACCCTATCTTTAACAAATTCCAACCTGAGCCCGCCCAAGTTGCACCCCTAATTGGCCAAGTATCATGAGATGTAGAACAGTCAAACTGTGGAGGATTGGATTCGAACTCATCCTGAACCCGAAAGAAAAAGAGGCATAATGTGTCAGGTATTCATTAGATTCTGCGACTGAAAAACAAAGTGGTGGCAATGGGCTGGGTTGGGTCAAACTGACAAGCCTCTGACCCGAAAGTCTGAAACTGATAAAATCAACAGCCCAGGCTTGTGGGTGTGCAGGAATCCGTGTTTTATATAAAGCAAACAAGGACAATATTTCTCACAAGTTTTTCATCTTCTGTTTATTCCTGAGTTGAGACTTTCAGTCATGGACTTGTGGGTGGGAGGGTGGTGGGCTTCAATTTTTTTTGGCAAAACATTTTAATATTAAAGAAGATAAGGAGATTTCCTATAAGTTGCTCTTGTATTCTTTCTCCACCGACATCTCCCTTCGAGTCAAGTTCATAATGAAGATGGTTGAGAATTGCAATGTGATGGGCCCCTCTGAGGTCCATGCTATTTTGGTTTCCTTAACCGTGGCTAGACTTACCACCGGACAACAAGGTGAAAAGAAAGAAAAAGAAAAACAGAAGTTATAGTCTATTGGGTAGCATATGCTTTGAAAAAAGTAATCAAAAGAATGGTAATTGATAGCCCCCATCGCATGCCCGAAAAGAAAGCAAAGGGCCTTTTTTCTCTATTCTATATTTCCATTTGATGGTTATATGAGATGAGAATGGAACAACCCACAAATCATTTCTCCATAACTGCATCTCCTTTGATTTGGTGCTTAAAGATTGGAATGGTTGGGTACAAGTTGTGGATGATTGGGGCTCGATGCTGCTTTTCCGGCTATTCTTTCTTCCAACTCTTCTCTTGGTTTTCTAATTTAATTGGTTTGGAAACGGTTGGAGAGCTGCCACAAATTACAGTTATCATTAAGCATTAAGATCCTCTAAACTGTTAAGAGAATAGTTTGAGATCCTTCACAGTATAATCATTAATTTATCATACTATTTGGTCTGAAACAGTGAAGAACAAGAGAAAGGGAGAATAAAGAAAACATCTTGCTTTTCAAAATTGGAATATTTTTAAGCTGCACTGGGTGTATGTTGAAATGGCAAAAAGCCTAAAAATAAGGGCGGCAATTGGTTGGGCCATCATTGTCGTCATCATCATCATCATTCACCTTAGCCCGACTATATGGGGCCTACCAGGCGAATCTTGTTACTTGATCTATCAGGTTTGAGAATGAATGTGCAATCCTTTTCCTAGGCTCCTAGCTGATAGGGTTTTTTGTCCTTCTGGGGTTGAGAAAGGTCGACCCTGACCCAGAATCTGCTAATTCCAACCCCAAATGCCAGGCTTCTCCCTCTCCCCAAGCACCCCCCACCACCAAAAAAAAAAAAAAAAAAACTCAGCCTTTGATAAGTGCTTTCTTCTCATGTAAACAATGGGTTTAATTTAACCATTAATGTTTCTCTAACGAGTTATGCCATTGCCAGTTAGAAGGTCTACATGTTAAAGGGGAGTCCTGCTTTACCCTTTATTTGATCAATAAACCCTTCGACTAAAGCAAAAGGAAAAGAGAGTTTGCAGGCTGTACAAGGAATTCCATCTCTGGTAATATCCAGATGCTCCATGCTTGGGAGTTGGGAAGCCACATTTGTCTTCTTGGGTGATTATATCCAAAACGGTGGTTTAGGAGCAAGGTCACATCTTTGATCCTATACCTAGAAAGAATTGCTAGCCAGACATGATTGTTACAGCATGTTTCTTTAGTTGATATATAGAATTCAATGCCTGGGACACCAACCAATAGGTCGATGTGCTCCCACCAAAGAATTAAATCAATTAACAACTAGTAAATGGGATCCTTTTAGTTCTAGTTCCCATTGAGGCTATCAGTACTCCATTAACAATGCTATCATGGGGATCTTTAATTATTAAGTATTGACATTTGATCAAGTACCATAAAAGCTGCTGATGCTGCTTTCATCCCTACAGTTAAATTTCTCTGTGTCCCACCCCATCTACACATCTTTCTGCTTCTGCAGGCGCAAGCCATGGCCAAAACTAGGAACTGCTTATTGGTGATAATTAAAAGGGTTGGTCAATTCCATTCTCTTCTGCAATTCTCCGGCCATCTACTTCTTTTCCCCACCAAGGAAGAAGGAATTATAAAAGCAGGGAGGCAAGAATATTCAACCCCTTTAGGCTTTAGCTCTTCAACAGGAGAAGACACAACTATAGCATTTTTCAAAGTCTTAATTATTTGCCCACTCGGTTCGCCTTTTGTGAGCAATCATGTTCCACTCACTTGTGCAGACCAAATGTGGGCTTGATGATTCGTTTGGTGAATAGATCCATGTGGCACCCAGATGATTCATCACTCACTAACCAATAGCAATTCAACTTAAACCAATATACATTAAAAAACGAGAACACCTTTTGCTTCCCATCGATTAGATTGCTACAAGACATGACGTAAAGCCATGAAATGCTCAGCTTTATATGATGAATATCCTTTTGAAAATTATTCAGAAAAGCACGTCCTTACATGCCAACATTCCTCCAACCATCTGTACCCATGTACTTTCATGGAAGAATTCTAAGCTAAGAAAGTAAGACAAAGGAGAGAGAGAGAGAGAGAGTTGTATTTATTAGTTTCTACTCATGAGGGCAGGTTGGGGTTGGGTATGAATCATTTTAGTCCTCGGATTCCATTCCAATAATTTAGAGCACATTGGTGTGTGAGAACATGCGTTCTAAATCACTTTCAGTGGTTTTTACAAGATTCGAATAAGCGATTTAGAATGGAAGGAGAAAAGAAAAACAGAAAGAAACCGATAACGTGAAGTGGAAAGTGCATAATTCCATTCCACTCAAACAAGGGATTAAATTGGTCCAAGAGGATACAGATTCAGAGATAGTGAATTCATCATTACAGAAAATGAACTGCTGATCAATATAAAGACAGACTCAAACCAATAAGGATATATGAGCATGCAGTTGGTTTCTCTACTCTCTAAAGTCACCAGGAGGAGTCAAGTGGAAATAGAATAGAAATAAGAGATTTCAAATGGAGACAAAAAGAAGTAGTGGCTTATGTTGGTAATTAATTAGTAAGGGAATCAAGTTTTACTGCAACAGCAGTGATATTTCACAGTGCAATGAAAGACAGAAGAAGAAATTAACCCAGAGTCTTATTACTTATTTTCAAAGCACAATCTCCTTAACTTCATTAGTTTTCATTGTTAGATAGAATTAATCCTTGTAGAAAAAGGATTGCATGTATGTTAGTACATGGGTCAAATCGATCTGTGTTGTTGTCTTATGTAATGAGTTGTTATTCATAAATTCATGATAAATATGGACGAAGCCACTCTCTATTCATTGCCTTTTCTTTGGCCCCAGCATTAGCATTATAATCAATGGGGTCGGTCCATCTCTGCAGATTTTAGACAAGGAAACCCTTATCATCTACTAGAGTAAATCTACTTTTTCTTGGAAGCTTCTCTAATTGTCAAAAGACCCAAAATTATGAGGCTGTGTGTTATCTTACTGATACGGCCATCCGTTCTTAGTTTTTAGGT